TTCAGGCTTTGGCCAATCAGTTTTGTGAGACTGGATGTTTCGGAGCCTAGTCGGGTTCTTACTTGCGTGGTTTCTCGGTCTTCTTTGTATGAGCGCATTAGAGATCGCCAATTAGATGACCTCCATTTGATTGTTTTTAAGGACACAGTATAGCACGGCGACGCCAAGGAGGTTTCAATTGGAGATGATATAGTAGTATGGATGTGGGGCCGGATATGTGTGACCAATGTGGATGGTTGCATGAGTTGATTCTTGAGTAGGCTCACAGTTTGCGGTATTCCATTTATCTGGGTGCTGCTAAGATGTACCAAGATTTGAGGCAGCACTATTGGCGGAGAAGAAAGAAGAAAGATATAGTTGAGTATGGGCTCGGTGTTTGAACTGTCAACAGGTGAAATACGAACATCAAAAGTCGGGCGGTTTGCTCCAGAGACTTGAGATTCTTGATTTAGAAGTGGGAGCGTATTACCATGGATTTCGTTGTTAGGCTCCCACGGACTTTGAAGAAATATGGTGAAGTGTGGGTCATTGTGGATAGGTTGACCAAGTCAACACATTTCATTTCGGTGGTGCTTACCTATTCTTTAGAGCAGCTGGCCCAGATCTATATCCGTGAGATTGTTCGTCTCCACAGTGTGTCGGTGTCTATTATCTCCGACCGAGGAACGCAATTCACATTGCATTTCTGGAGAGTCGTGCAGCATAAGTTAGGCACACGGGTTGAGTTGAGTACAACATTTCACTCCCAGACGGACGGGCAGTTCGAGCGCACCATTCATATCTTGGAGGATATGATACGTGCATGTGTTATGGATTTTGGGGGTTCATGGGATCAGTTTCTACCACTTTCTGAGTTCAACTATAACAATAGCTACCAATCAAGTATTTAGATGGATCCTAATAAGGCCTTATATGAAAGGCGATGTCGTTCTCCAGTTGGTTGGTTTAAGCCGGGAAAGGCTAGGTTGTTGGGCACTGATTTGGTTAGGGATGCCTTGGAGAAAGTCAAGTTGATCCAGGATCGTCTTCGTACAACCCAGTCTAGGTAGAAGAGTTACGCTGATCGGAAGGCTCATGATGTAGCATTTATGGTGGGAGAGAGGGTTTTGCTGTGGGTTTCACCCATGAAGTGTGTGATGAGATTCAGGAAGAAGAGCAAGTTAAGCCCTAGGTATATTGGTCCTTTTGAGATCTTTGAGAGAGTTGGTGAGGTGGCCTATCGGCAGTTCACCCGGGTGCTCCATGTTTCCATGCTCCGGAAGTATTATGGTGATCCGTCCCATGTATTAGATTTTAGCTTAATCCAATTGTACAAGGATTTGACTTATATTGAGGAGTCGGTGCCCATCTTGGACAGGCAGGTCCGAAAGTTGAGGTCAAAGTGTTTTTCTTCTGTGAAAGTGCAATGGAGATGTCAGCCAATCGAGGCAGCTACGTGGGATTCCGAGTCCGATATGCAGAGTAGATACCCACACCTTTTCACCAGTTCAAGTATCTTTTTATGTTCTTTCGAGGACGAACATTTCTTTTAGAGGTGGAGAATGTGACAACCCCATAGGTCGTTTTGAGTACTAGCCCTTATTTTCGTATTCCATGACCTCTATTAGCTCTATTTGATGTTTCTCAGTTTTCGTGCGCAGTCTGTGTCTTTTTCCGATAAGTTTTTACGTAAAAATCTGAAGAAAATAAGATTTTTGGCTTTAAAAGCAACTTGTGTTGACCACGGTCAACATTTTGTGTAACGATCCCGGATAGGTATTTTGATGATTTCGGTAGGTCCGTATTGTAATTTTGGACTTGGGCGTATGCACGAAATTGAATTCGGAGGTCCCTAGGTTGATTTGACTTGTTTTGCCGAAAGTTAGAAATTTGAAAGTTTGGAAATTTTCTAGGTTTAACCGTAGGTTGACTTTATGGCTATCAGGTCCGAATTTTGGTTTTGGGACTTGGTATAGGTTCGTTTTGCTATTTGAAACTTGTGTGCAAATTTGGTGCAAATCGGAGTATGTTTGATAAGATTCGGACGCTTAGCTATGATTCTAGATGTTCTTGAGTTTTCCTTTGTATTTCATTCGTTTTGATATCCCATTTATAGTTTTAGATATTATTTTGATGTTTTGATCGCGCTAGCGAGTTTGTATGATGTTGTTATACTTGTGTGTATGTTCGATTTGGAGCCCTAGGGGCTCAAGTGGATTTCAGACGCGTTTCGGATGAGTTTGGATAGTGTAAGTACTGCTGGTGTGCTTCAGTTCTGGTGTTTGGATGCATGTCTCGCAATTGCAAAGACCTGTTCGCAAATGCGAAATCCACTTTTGCGAAGTCAAGCTCACAATTGCAATGGTATACTAGGACAGAGTAATCTTCGATTTGGTGAAGAAATGTTTGCAATTGTGGACATCCCATGATTCGCATGTGCGTTAGCTTGGTTGCATTTACGACTGAGCCTTGGGCTTAGACAGGTTCGCAAATGCAAACCTTTGATTGCATTTGCGGTTGGATGGGAGTTCGCATTTGCGATGTTTTTTTGTCCCAATTGCGACTAAATCATGCTGGGGATGCAGTTCGCTTTTGTGACATGTTTCTCGTATTTGTGATGCTCGCAATTGTGAACAAACCGTAGCTGGGTAAAAGTGGAAAAATTGGGACTTAGCTCATTTTACACCATTTCTCAACCCTAAGCACTCTAGAGGCGATTTTTTAAGAGATATTTCTTCCCATAATCATTCTAAGCAACTTCAATTTATTTTCTTTCAATTACCCAATACTTTTCATATGTTTTCAACATCAAATCTCGAATTTCCATGGTAGAAATTAGGGATTTGGGTAGAAATTTAGGATTTTGTATTGAGATTTAGACCTCAAATTGGGTTTGGATTTCGAAATAAATTACATAATCGGGCTCGGGGCTGAATGGGTAATCATGTTTTGGTCCGAATCTCAAATTTTGACCAAGCGAGCTCGGGGTTGACTTTTTTAAATTCATTAAAGATTGACTCTTTTTCACTCGTGAGTAGTTTCTAAAGCTCATTTGATCGATAATTTGTTAGATTTGGTTTGTTTGGAGGCTTGTTCAAAAGGCAAGGTCGTGGTTGGTTGATTGACTTGGTTGCGGAGTGAGGTACGTCTTGGTTAACTTTGACTTGAGGGATTAGGACTTGTTGGTCTAATTTCTACGTAAATTATGTATGGGAACGTCGTATATGTAAGGTGACGAGCATATATACATTTTTATTAGGTCAAAGTATGCGGGTGAAAATTATTTTATTGTATTATGTTATTTCCTTGATTATGTTTTTCATGCCGTAGTTAGATTATTACTTCTTTAATTGTTCGTTTTTCATATTTATGGCTTATTTTGAAGTTGTTGGGGTTTTGAAAGTTGAGATGAATTATCATTACACTAAAATTGATGTGAAATAACTTCCCACCTTGTTTCGTTATTTGGATTAATGTCATTGCTTGGTGAGGGAGAGTGAAAAGTACAAAGGGTATTGTCCTGTCTTATTTGCATACAATATCATCTATTTGAGAGAATGTCAAGTTAAAGCACGAAGAGTATTGTCGTGCATTCGATTGCTTATTATCATTTATCACATCATGTGAAGTTGAGAGTAAAAGCACGAAGGATGATGCCGTTTCATTTCATTTATGATAATACATGGTGAGGACGATAGTAAAAGCACGAAGGGTGATGTCGTGCCATTGTTGATTTCATTGCCTTACGTGGTTTTCGAATTGTTGATTTAGTTAATTGCGTTATTGTTATTTTCCAGAAAAGATTATTCGGTGATCTCGTACTTGCCGTTCTCATCGTACTCCTCTTTTACATGTCCCCTCCCAGTTAATATATTAATTATCCTACTTGTTATTTTGTTGCTTTATATATATACCTGTACAGGATTTATGTAGGTGTCTTGTCATAGCCTCGTCACTACCTCGTCGGGGTTAGGCTCGATACTCACGGAGTACATTGAGTCGATTGTACTCATGCTACACTTCTGCAAATACTGGTGTAGGTCCTAGCAGCGTCTAGTGGTGTCTCTACTCGGATTCAGCTGCATTGGAGGTATAGCTGCACGGCCCGCAGCCCTGAAGCCCCCTTCTTTATCTAGTTTACTGTTTATTTAGTTTCAAACAGTTGCACTTTGTTTCAGACCGTATATGTAGTATTCTAGATGCTCATGTACTTGTGACTCCGGATTTCTCGGAGTAGTTAGCATCGTGTTACTTCTATTAACATATTGTTAAATTCTGAGTTCATTAATCGTTAAATATCATCATTTTGTAATAATTGTTAAAGAGTGGTTAATTGATTGAACAACATCGGCTTGCCTAACAAGTAGATGTTAGGTACCATCACAGTCCCGAAGTTGGGAATTTCGGATCGTGACAACTAAATATATTTTTATTAATTATTATTTCATATAATATTATTTATTTTTGAATCATATTATATTTTTTTATTTGTATCACCGACTACATGTGGAGATATAACATTCAACTTTACTAGGGCTTGATATCCCGTATAATTGTAGGACTCACTTTCTTTTCGTAGGGTGCATTTGTACATGTATAATTCTGGTAAATAAAATTCTTTAACGCCAAAAAAATGTTTAAGTTTCTACCAATAGTTATTCATATAATGTTTTTTTAATTTATAAAATTTAATAAGATCACAATATTATCCGCATATGGTACGGATACAAATACTAGTGAAACATCAAACATGTCAACCCATTGCAGAATGCATTTGTTTTGGTCCATTGTACTGTAACTTCGGAGATTTGAGTAATATCTCTCCTTCCATCTCAAGCATATTTGATGCTGCTAAAATGCTAAGGCAATAAAAAGTTTCCGAAATATCCTGTATCACGTAGATTCTTTAGACGGAAAAGGGGGAGAGAATAAAATCACTAATTATTACAATCCACAAAGAAGGAAAAGATATACGTACTATTTGACTTCAATAATAAATTATTTTCCCAATAGAAATAAAAGGAAACTGATTCCAACAATTATAGTAAATCTTTCTTGTAATCCTTCCCGTTTTCCGCTATAAAACCCCGGTTCCTCATCAAAATTTAATATCAACAAAACCAAAAGAAAAAGAAAAAAAGATGAAGGCCTCATGGCCGGTGATAATTTTCTTCAGTTTCTTTCTTGTTCCTTGTTTTGGAGATTTGATTGATGATGCTTGTCACAAAACAAGTGATTTCAACTTATGTGCGACATCTCTTAGATCTGATCCGCATAGTAGTAGCGCCGACTTGAAAGGTTTGACGCGTATTATGATTCAATTGGGCTTGGCCAAGGCAAACCAAATTTCTGCTCAAGTCAAACTACTTTTAAACCAATCTAAAGATCGAGGTTTCAAGCAATGTCTTCAGATTTGCCTTGAGGAATTTGGCTATGCTATTGACCCTAGACTTCCTGATGCTATTAAATATTTGAATTCAAACGACTATTGGAATGTCGACACCAACCTAGTGGGTGCTGGTAATAGTGCAGAAACTTGCGAAGAGTCATTTACTGAACCGCCGGGCTACACATCACCATTAGCAGAGGTCGATAAGAATTTTGATCATTTTATTGAAGTGACAAGAGATTTATTGAGTCAGCTTAAACAAAAATAAAGTTTTTCTATTGCTGATTACAAACAAATAATTCATCATAGAACCAACAGAATCAAATTACCATTTTTTTATCTTTAGCAATTGTGTGGTTGTTAGTTTGTCTTAAAAGCTTAATGATTATAATGCTGCACGTTAAAGTAGTTTCTGGAAAGTCTCCAACTCACTTTTGCTCTTTATGTTGCGTTATGGTCCAACTCTCGTCAAAGAAGTTCCTATGTTGTGAATAAATATAACATAGAGTTTAAGTTGTTTGACGGTATAAAAATTATTAATCTATCTATATTATTATTAAAGCATGAATAAAATATTGGTTTACAAAAATAATATTTTAATATTAAGCATAATAACTCACAATAAAAGGACATATCTGGAATTCTAGACATTAGCCTTGTAATTCTATTTGTTTTAGGACATAATACTACACGTTAAGAATTCTACATAATTACCTTTAGGAATCCTATTAGTATAATTATTTTCGGCATTGATATATAATACTACATGTTAGCATGTAAACCTAATACCTTTAGGAACACATTAGATTTCCTATTAGTATAATTACTTTCGGGATATGGCCATATTCTTAGTCATGTAATCCTATTACTTCTAAGATATACTTCTTAAAAAATTTCTATTACTAATTTAATTTGAAAACGTATTATATTGTCCAAATTCATTTAAAAACGGCAGAGCCTATATTATTATAATAGCACGAATACAATATTGATAGACCAAATAGCCCTAAAATATCAAAAAGAAGAACTCATAGGGAAAGTACATAATTGTTATAACTTTTTTTTTGGACTACAATAACGTATATGTTAATTTTCTTAATATATAAGATTTTAAAATTAATACAATCTTGTCTATTGAATTCTTATTTAAAAATATGTAAGAAAGTTTAATAAAACTAATTTCATAAGAATCCTCCATATTAATAATACATTACCACTCTATAATATTCAATACCAAGAAAAAAATAAAAGTAATGTTAAACGGACTGCATAAAGCTTTAAAATTGAGACAAAATTTTTCACGATAATATATTATTATATTATATTTGAACCGCTTTTCTACTCAAATAATATTTTTTATTATTAATTTTTCGTGTAATATAGAAAAATATAGACAAGTATTAAAAAACAACTAAGAAAATTTTTAAGAATATAAAGTGTGAGAAAGAAAAAGAAAAAGGTTGGTAAGAGTCACTACCACTAATGATTTGCAAACACAACGATCTAAAAGTGGAATGTCAGATCTTTTTACTCTTTGAAAATAATATTTATGGTCGATAAATTATAATTACTGTTAAATATTCAAACATGAGATACTAATATTACGAATCTGAATCAACAGAAAGTAAATTGTTTTTTATGTTAAAAACCAAATAATGAAATCTTTCAATTAATTATTTAGCAAGAGAATCCTAATATATTTTAAATTCATCATATGATTAAAATTATTTTTCAAGTTAAAAAAAATATTAGGGTACATAAATTTATTCCATAAAAAAATGTTAGAGATTAAAATTAAATATATCACAAAGTAAAAAAAAAAATAGTATAATATTAAGAAGGTCATACAAGTGTTTGAGGAAGCACAATCAATGCTAAATCCTGAACAAGAATAAGCATTCAATACTATATTATAAAAAGTCGGCTCTGGTATAATGGGATTATCCTTTGTAGATACCTTCGGCGGAATCGGAATAATATTCTTATGTCATGCATTACTTGCAAATGTCAGATCAAGAGGATGGATATTGTTAGACGAAAGAATTGTTGCTATGAGTATTAATTTATTTGTGTATTTTCTTTATATATTAAAATTATTATACTAAAGCCATTATTAAACTTTACTTATTTTGAAAATATCTTTCTTATTAAACATTACTTATTTCGACCAAAAAAAAGATTAAACAGGAATTATAGTTGATAATGTCACATTTAAAAATTTATTATGGAGGCGTTTTTGCATTACATCATATCTTAAACTATAGGGGAAGAAGGCTAAAGGAAAACTCCATAAATTATATAATTCCTAATTGTTTGTCATATTTTGAGCTTTTGGCTATAATAGAAAAAGTTGATTATTCTAAAAATTATCTATTAAAAAAAAGATTTTATTAAAACAAATTGTTTCACCAGAAAACTATTGCACAAAGGAGTTTTCTTTCCTATTCAAAGCGTGAAGGAGGTATTGTTACCCAACCCTTAAAGGTTAAGGGGTAAAGTGGATTGACTCCTAAAAATACATCAAGGTTAACTAGTGGGAAGTCCCAACTTTCCGGGCGTTTATTTGTAGCGTAAACCGAGAGAACACTTCCTATTTGAAACCAAAATTTCTAAACCACTGTTCCCTTTATAGCTTGTTTGGATGGTTGTTACTTACTGTATTGTACCGTATTGTTACTTCGAATATAATATTTATTTTAATTATTATTTAAAATTTATTGTATCATATTGTTAAATCCGTTGTTACGTAACGACAAAAAAATGTTACTTTATGGAATGACGGATTTGGTATGATGGCGTCGTTTCCTTGTTTTTTTCTCTCATCTTGCCTTTCCTTATTATTAAATAATCATATTTTATCTTTTACCCTACTCTTTTATATAATAATTCTACTCCTTATCCTATTTTTTTCTTAGTAATATTGCAAGTTTATTCGTCATATTGTTGGTGCATGATATCATGAAATGACGACAAACGATACAATCTATCCAAACATTATATTCATCAAACAATACAGTACAATATAATACAATATATTATAATATAATACGATACATTATGAAACGACATGTAACAACAATCCAAACAATCTGTCAGAGGGCTCATTATGCAACAAGAAAAAATTGTTATGGTTCTTAAATGCTCTCTTTCCACAGCATACTCTGATCATGGGATTAGCTGTTATTGCAATTTTTCTAAACCATGAAATAGAGCAATTTTCTTCTAAACCATGAAATAGAGCAATCTTCAATTCATAGATCGAATTGAAGGTCGAGTTTTTTTTATTTCTATTCCTATTATCAACCCATGACGCTATCATTTCTTTCTCACTGATTGCTTGAAATAATACCTAAAAAATTATGAGTCAGATAAATACTGTGTAATGATTTTTCTTCTTTTTTTGGTTCTTCTTGGACTTAAGTCCTGCTATATCTTTTACTTTGTTGGGTCAATTTCTTAGATCTCAAATCTATATTTAACAAACAACCCTCTTAGTCTTACGATAAAAAGTGATAGTGGTAAGTTTAACATGTTCTGATCAAAATACCCTCCCCTTCACAGTAATTTTTATAGTATCTATCCTTGTTAAAAAAGCAAAGCAAACATAAATAGGAAAACAAACTGCAGAAAACATGCAAAGATCCATTCCTTTACTATTCATAGGTTCCAAATTTTTTTGAGCCTTATTTGAAAATGGGTAAATTGATTTGTTTCAGCCCCTACCTCAACGATTGAGTCCTCTCTGGGTATCAAGCCCTCTCCTCTGCATTATGTAAGTTTGGTTGCTCCTGGATTGCATTAGAAATTTCTTTTATTATGCGTGGGATTGGCCGGAAAACTATTTGATATACAAGGAAAAGGAAAAAGGGAGGTCTCTTGTATATTTTTCAAACTAGAGGGGAGATTATCTTTGCTAAACTAAAAGAAAGGTCGAAGTAATTCACCCTAATTCATATAGCTGCTCTCAACCAGCTTGGAATTGATAGCTTGATGTTGATGCATAGTTATTTTTGTTGTTGTAAACAAAAAAGGGGCAGTCCGGTACACAAGGCTCCCGCTATGCGCGGAATCCGGGAAAGGGCCGGATCACAAGGGTCTATTATGCAGCCTTACCCAACATTTCTGCAAGAGGATGTTTCCATGGCTCGAACTCGTGATCTCCTGGTCACGTGCCAACAACATTACCAGTTACGCCAAGGCGTTGTTAAACGGAAAAGGGGGAAAAAAAGAGCTAAGCAAGAATGATCATACAACTAGAAATGGAAAATCAAGTTAGCAACTTTCTTCTGTTTTTCACATCCAACTTCATCTGTATTACAGTCTTGGCCAAATCTTGTTTTCCTTCTCTATTGAGCCCATAGAAGACGGTTCTAAAATTAACTGTACTAGGAACAATCCCAGTATCCAGCATTTCAGAGATAAGTTGGATAGCTTCTTCAGACTTGCCAACTCTACATAGACAAGAGATGAACATGGAGTATGCCTTGAAATCAGGAGATGGTCCATTCTTTTTCATCTGATGAAACACACTCCAAGCATCAGAAACCTTTCCCATGTTCATGTACCCTCGTATTAACGCTGAATATGTTACAATTGTTGGTTGGCAGTCTAAATCTTTCATTTCCTCAAAAATTTCAAGAGCCTTTCCTATCTGTTTCTCCTTAAAGAAGTAAACAATCAAGGAAGTATATACATGGACAGTAGGATGAATACCGACATGCTTCATAGATTCTATTCTAGCCAATGCCTCTTCTAACTGCCCTTTTTGTAGTAATCCATGAACTAAACTTCCATAAACATACTGATTCAAGACATGCTGCTCGTCATCAACTTCGTTAACCAATGCTAAAGCCTCTTCCAGTCTCCTTGCTCGACAAAGTGCCCTAATGTACAATGAATAAGTTAAAGGGGTACTGAAACCGAGTTTTTGTAAAGATTCAGTACAGCTTCTGGCATCCCTTAATTTACCAAGCTCACATAAACAACCGAGATAAGCTTCAATTAGTTCTTTATCAGGACTGCATCCAACTTGAATCATCTCCTGGAATACTTTTACTGCTTCATCAATTCTCCTACCTTTTTTCTGACAAAGAGATGTGATCACAGCTTTGTATGTACTATCTGTGGGTTTACAACCGCTACCTTTCATTTCTTTAAAGGTACGAACAGCAATATCTGTGAGTCCGGTTCGGCCATACTGCATTATCATGATTGTCCAGGTATGAGCTGTTACTAAGCAACCGTTTCTCCTCATATCAGAAAATAGATTTCGCATCTGAGTGAAGTCCTTGCCCTGTCCTGCTATTTTAATGGCCATATTGTAGGATTCTGTTGAATGCCTATAATTAGTTTGCTTCCCAACCCAAGAAAAAAATTGCAATGCCACACAACCTTGCAGCCTGAAGTTACGCAAAACTTC